CCCCCCAGCCGATGCCAGTGGCCAGGAAGGTGCAGTTGGGCTTCTACCGTGCCAGCCCACACTGGCTTTCCTGGGGTCCCTGCCCAGCCACTCTGGCCATGTCCCTTCTCCATCTCATGTCCCCACCTGCTCCTCGGCCCCCCTCAGCCTCAGCCTTTTGGGAGAGTGGCCCTGGGGATGGGGATGGCAGGGATGCCAGTGGGGAAGTGCGGCTGGCCCCTGCCTCCTTCCGCAGGCAGGCTCAGCGGGAGGCAGGAGGGCTCTGCAGGGCTGCAGCAAGATCCCACGCTGCAGCCAGGATGAGACCCAGGATGGGCAGCACTGGGCTGCCTGCCCCGGTCCCTGGGGACCCTCTGCATCCCTCTGCATCCCTGGCTGCGCGGATGGGCCAGCAGAAAGGAGATTTGCTGCATGGCACCTGGATGTGCTCAGGGGAAGGCGGCTCCTCGTGAGCAGGGCAGGCACTGAGCTGAGGGGGCTGAGACGCAGTTCCTGAGTGCTGGGGATGGGGAGGAAGGGAGCCAGCCCCTCCCCACGCTCTGCAGGGAGTGGGTGGGGAAGGGCGAGCATCCTCGTCATCTCCGGATGGAGCCATACGCCCAGGGCAGCCCCGGTGGCTCCGCTGTCAAAGGGACCAGGAGGAGGAGGGGGGATCTCTGGCCTCACCGTGGGGAGGGGGTCAGATGCTCCCATAGCCAGGTGCCCCTGTCCCCCGGGGTGTCATCTCTTGCAGTCGTCGGTGTCGGTGTCCGGCAGCCCGGCGGCGGGCTGGGAGCTGGGCTGGACTGCCTGCACCCTCTCCTCCAGGCTGCCGCTGGGGAACACCACATAGCGGGCGCTGACGCGCTGCGGCCTGGGCTCCCGCAGGTTCTCCTTGCTGTGCCAGATGCCGTAACCGAAGTACACGAGCAGGCCTGCAGCGGGGGACAGGGAGAGCAGTGGCTCGAGCAGAGGCCAGCGGCCGGCACGGATGCAGCCAGCATCCCTGCGTAGCAGCACAAGCCACGGCACTGGGGGGGCTTAAACCAGCTGCTTGCAGGTGGAAAAGGATCCTGCAGTGTGTTAAGAGCAAGGGGGGTAACCCCAGTCCCTGGGGAGGGGAAGCCCCTCACTGGGAAGGGCTCCTCAAGCCCCAGGGAGCCACCTCGGGAGCAGCGGGTGGTTCTGGTCCAGAGCTTGAAGGAGGATCCAAACCTTAACTGGAACAAACCGTAACACTCTGGGAACCAGAGAGGGTCAGGGAGACGCCGGGAGACCTCGGTTTGCGTCTCCGAAGGGGAGTTGGAGGCGGAAAGGGGCACGATGTGGTTTATAAACCCATCACCAGGGGAAAAGAGCTGCTGAAGCCACCGGCCGGTGCCAGGACAAGCCCAGTTCCCCTCTCCCCCGAAGCAGCCGCTGCCTTCCTGGGGCTCACGCCACCGTGGGAGCACTCACCTAAGAGCAGCCAGACGGCAAAGCGGAGCCACGTCATGTAGCTGAGCTTCAGCATCAGATAGATATTGAGGACGATACTCAGCGCTGGGGAGAGGGGTACCAGGGGGATCTGCGGGAGAAACCAAGCCGGGGGTAGAGGGTGAGACCTGCAGGACCACATTCCCCATCCTTAAAACCATAGAGACAAAAGCCAGCACTGGTAAATGTGGGGGACAAAGTGACTCTCACCCGTGGCTTTCTGAAAATGACTTTTTTTTTCTGGGAAAAAGGCAGCCAAAAGGAACAATTGCCAGTTAGGGAGCCAAGAGATGGGAGCCAGGCTGCATGCCGGGCACGGGCTCTGGAAACAGCCCAGAGGCACCGTCAGAAGGACTGAACAAGCCTTCAGTGCAATCCAGAGCCAACATGGTCCTCACTGGAGAAGCCCGGGCAGGGGCACGGCAGGGAGGTGGTACCACTGGTGTTACCATCCACGCGGCTGCACCACACCGGGGCCCAGATGGGCTGGAAACCAGAGAGCGGGGAGCACGAGAGGCACAAAAATGATTTGGGGGCTGAAGAAAAGAGCTCCAACGCATAGGTCAAGGGCAGGCCAAAGGCAGAAGGAGTTGGGATGGGCAGAAGGGGAGCGGGGGGCTGTGCGGATGCGGAGCAGGGAGCCCAGGGCGGGCAGGAGCGATCCCGCTGGGGTTGTCCCCTCCTGGAGACCAGCAACTGTGCAGCGTGACACCGCAGGCACCAACACCTCCCCACAGCCAGTGCTCGCTGACACCCTCCTCCTCCTCCTTCAGCAGTTGCGGTGCTTTCACGAGACCGGTGTGACCGGGGCCTCTCGTGGGTGCATCAGAGCTGCTCCCACCCCGCCGACCCTGGAAGAGGGACTAATCCTGCCTGGGCCCCCAGGCGTACCTGGAAGGTCTGTGTGCCGCGCTGCTGCTCGTGCGCCCAGATGAGGAGGAGGCTGAGCAGGAAGCCCAGGCTGAAGAGGACCAGCAGCAGGGAGTAGCTCCAGGTGGGCAGGTGGAGGTGAGTGTTGCCGAACACCAAGATGGAGCAGAGGCAGATGGCGGACACCATCAGGGTCACCACAGCCACCGTGACCACCTCGCCCGGGTAGAAGTCGCTGAGGAACTCCAGGTAGGGCTCAAAAGCTGCCTTCAGCTGCCCCGGCTCCCGGTGCTCTTTGCTCTTGTCCCTGTCCACTAGCTGGAGCTTGTCAGAGAAGGACTCGTACTCCTTCAGCTCGCCGGTGGACGGAACCTCCTGGGGCTGGGGGCTGGGACGGCCACTGGCCACCGGCGCAGGGGCATCCACCTTCTGCTGCTGGAAGCGCAGGACGATGATGCTAGCAGCCACGAAGGTGTAGGCCAGCAGCGTGCCAATGGACAGGAACTGCACCAAGGCCTCCAGGTCAAAGATGAGGGCCAACAGGGCCATGAGTAGCCCAAAGACCACGATGCCGACGACAGGCACCTGCGTGCGGGGATGCACTCGGGAGAAGACCTGGAAGAAGAGCCCGTCCTCGGCCATGGCGTAGACGATGCGTGGCAGGGAGAAGAGGTTGCTCAGCAGGACTGTGTTCATCGCTGAGGGATGGGCAGAAGAAGGAAGACCACGTCAGACCCAAAACCGCCCCAGTTCCCAGCCCCCATCGCAAGCAGGGCGGGCAGCTCCCACCGCCGCTGCCTGTACTTACCGCAGATGGAGCCAGCGGCGACCAGGAACCCTGCCCAGGCATAGCCCCTCCTGTAAAACGCATCTGCCAGGGCAGAGTCGGGGTCCAGCGTGTGCCAGGGCACCATCAGCGTCAGCACCACCGACACCAGGATGTAGGCCCCGGTGGCCAGCCCCAAGGAGAAAGCGATGGCCCGGGGGACAGCCCTCTGCGGGTTCCTGGCCTCTTCGCTGGAGGCCGCGATGACATCAAAGCCCACGAAGGCGTAGAAGCAGGTGGCTGTGCCGGCCATGATGCCCGACAGTCCGTACGGGGCGAAGCCGCCCTCCTGGGCACTCCAGTTCTTGGGCTGCGCGAGGATGAAGCCCATGATGAGAATGAAGAGGATGACACCCATGCTGATGGCCGAGAAGACGTGGTTTAGCCAGGAGGACACTTTGGCCCCGAAGGAGATGAAGGCGGTGGCTACCAGCAGGATGGCTGCTGCCAGAAAGTCGGGGTAGTGGGCCAGGAACGGCACCTGCCAGGTGCCCACGTGGGTCTCGGTGAAGTTCTTTATCTTGTGGTTGAAGATGGAGTCCAGGTAGCCGCTCCAGGCCCTGGCCACCGCAGCTCCTCCGATCATGTACTCCAGCAGCACGTTCCAGCCGATGAGGAAGGCCCAGATCTCACCCACGGACACGTAGGTGAACATGTAGGCAGAGCCCGTCTTGGGTACCCGGGCTCCAAACTCGGCATAGCAGAGAGCAGCCAGGAGCGAGGCAAAGCCGGCAATGATAAAGGAGACGATGACGGCAGGGCCGGCGATCTCCTTAGCCACAGTGCCCGTGAGGACGTACAGCCCAGAGCCCACCATGCCTCCGATGCCCAGCAGCGTCAAGTCGATGGTGGAAAGGCATCTATTGAAGGACGTCTCCATCATGTCGTCCTCCAAGGTCTTCACCCGGTTGAGTTTCTGGCAGAAGCGGGTCAGGTCGGCGGAGCGAGGCAGCCATCTCGCCATCCCGGAGGCAGCGGGCCCTGCCCTCCGGCAGGGTGAGGGGTCCACAGTGGCGAGACCCTGCCTGGAGACCTGGCAGGGGGGAGCAGGAAGGTGTGAGCATCCCCTCCTGCCGGGAGGTATCGCGTGGTGGGGACAGGGTGGAAAAGCCACCACGGCACATTCAAGGTGTCCCTCGCTCCTCAGCCAGCGTGGGGCTCAGCACTTGGAGCATGTCCTCCTGCAGGGTGGTGGCACAGGACAGACAGCCACCCCGCGCAGGGACCCGTGCTTGGGTGCCAGGTGGAAGAGAAACCACAGCACCCCCAGGGCAGCATCCCCCAGGCTTTTCTTTTTAAAACGGAGCTGCATTAAAGCCCAAAACAGGCTGCTCTGGCCCTGCTGAAGGTTTCTTTGCTGTTTCCCCTCCACCTTATTCAACATCTACCTGACCTTCTCCCTGGTGTGCCGGGAGCCCACCGAGGGGGCATGCAGTGCCTCCCCGCTCCCAGCATCTCGCTGCTTCCCCAGGGAAAGCCCAGGCGTGGCGCGGAGGTGTGCAGCAGGAAGACCAGAGCAGCTCTGGCAAGGACGTGGGCATCCCCGGCCAGACCAGGAAACACATCCGCGCCTGGGGACCAAGCCGCGGCCGGCAGCTGCCGCTGGGAGAGGGGGGGGCTCCCTGCATCCCCAAACCACGGGTCCTGCTCAGAGAGCTCGTGCCACTCGGTGCAGCCCTGCTCCCTGGGTCCATCTGTCTCGGAAGCCAAAAGGTCCCAGAAAGGCCACTGCGAGCCGACGGCACGATGTTGGCCCGTGGGGACAACAGGCCTGTTGGCACCAACCGTGCTGGCTGACCCTTCCGGCTGCCCTCCTCCCTGTGCCAGGATACGTGTCTCCCTGCATCCCCAAACCACGGGTCCTGCTCAGAGAGCTCGTGACACTCGGTGCAGCCCTGCTCCCTGGGTCCATCTGTCTCGGAAGCCAAAAGGTCCCAGAAAGGCCACTGCGAGCCGACGGCACGATGTTGGCCCGTGGGGACAACAGGCCTGTTGGCACCAACCGTGCTGGCTGAGACCCCCCCAGCCCCGCTCGCCGCCTGCATCTGAGTCCCCACGAATGGAGGGGCTGGCACTATTGGGGTGCCCCCCCCCCCCCCCCCCCCCCCCCCCCCATTGTCTGGGGGGAGTGGGTGAGGGGGG